GGGGGCGCGTGGGGTAAAGTACCCCCCAGCCACATCAGCTGGAGCATGGAATGAATGGACATCAGACTCGTCCACTGAGTATAACTCCCCCAGGTGCAGCCCTCGGGTCAGTGAAATATCATGTCCAGTAGGATTCAAAATCCGAGCTTTAGTCAGTCCGTTATGAACTCCAGCCAGTGTGTGAGCCACTATCAGGCTGGAAGATTCTGGCACATTAGGTTCAAGATATCCAACAAAGTCACTTGCAACCTGGGCCGCATTAGGCATACACACTTGTACAGGCACCACCAACTCGCTGAGAGGTGGCAAAGTCACAGCCACGGCCAGTGACACATTGCAGCATGTAGAAACAAAGTCTTTGTTGGTAAGCAGGGGGACCGTTAAGTCGCACAGTCGAAGCTCCGCACGGTTGAGGTCAAGTAAAGCATGATTTTTCAGCAAAAAGTCCCAACCTAGTCTGTGTAGTTTCTCTAATCACATGAAAAACACGTTGCCATGACCCAGCTCCCAGCTGAAAAGTGACTGTGATGGTGCCCAGCACATCCAGCATTTGTCCATTCACAGCATGGGCTGACACATAGTCTTTCCTTCGCGGGCGATTGCGAAGTGTGGGAATTGACATACGAAAGTTCGCACTCATAAGTGACACACTGGAACCAGAGTCCAACAGCATGTGAACCTCCACCCCGTCAATCACGCCTTTCACATATGATGCCAACCGGTCCCGGTCAGCATGTCACTGTCATTATTCGCCACAGCGTCACAATTGTCAGCACTGACATTATGAGGGTCCTGAGATGAAACAGCTGGTGTTTGGACCGCAACATCAGTCCATTTCCCCACTGAAAGCGGCGCTCCTCCTTGCTGGGTGACATGAAACGTACACCCCTCTTCCTCGAATCATCCACACAGTTACTCCATCTGTGAGAACCAGGGCTGGGGCTGCATCTCACAGGGGACAGGGAAGTGTAGGAGTCCTTATGACTGCGCCTATCCGTACCCAAAGCCCGCTCGTCAGGGTGTAGGACTGACTGTCTCACAGGTGATCGGCCCCTCCGAGTACTTTCAAAGGCATGTGATTGGCATCCACGAGCCCCACAGGTACACTGACACGCCCAGGAGCGACAGCCGTCCCACTCATTCAAAGCTCTGGGACTCCCTCTGCTTTTTAACATGTTGTTCTCGTCACTCAAGCGTCTCAACTCCATGTCTTTCATTGCGGCACCCAACAGATCCCCAGCTTTATACAATCCGCTATCGTCACCCACCGAGTAAATGGCAGATCCAGCTCCAACACCAGCAGTCCCAGAAGCGCCAACAGTCATGTAATCCTACCTCCCAGTATATCCAGCGTTCTCACAACGTCCAGCAATCAACACTGCTTCCTCCAAATCCGTTGCTCCATGCTCCTTGCATTTAGCTCCGAGCGCTGGATCCAAACCAGCAATGAATCGACGAAACTTTTCCTCCCTCAGGGTGTTACAATATTCTGGGAAAGCCTCGCTCACCAGCCGGCTGATCTCTGCCGCGTACACTTCCAAACTTTCCCCAGAGGCCCGAGGACGAGCCGCTAGGTTAGCCCTGAAGCGATCCATGAGCTGCCGTTCTCCAAATGCCTCCTTCAGTCTGTCTTTTGTCGCGGTATAGTCCACCTGAACAGCGCGAGGAAGGCTGTCCCACACTCGAAACGCTGCATCGCTGAGATGCGTCAGCAGAATTTGCGCCAATTCATAGTTGCAGGACACAGCACCATCAACCTCCGAGAGCGCTCCGACCGCTACTTCGAACTGCCGGGCCCAGAGTGGAAAACTCTGCCTCCCGTCACCAGAGAACGGCGCCGGTAAGTCTATCTTCACATGCCGGTTAATTCCACCCCGGTCCTCCTCGGATTTGCACCACATGTTGGTCGCGAGCTAACCTGAGCTAGTACTAAACTTGGAACACTAGCTAACTAATTAAACAGTCGACGGACACTGAACCACGTCGCTACGAACAAACAAAAAAACAAACCGCTGCCACCAATGTAGCCGAGTATTTACTTGGGCTCAACTAGACGTGTATAAAATAATAAAACGACAAAGCTTCAGGTCTGAACTTCTCCGTCACTTTATTTTGCACTCTTCACTCCAAAACTGACACTCCCATCTCTCTCTTCCCATGTCCCCTTTTTACCCAAGTATGGCAAGCCCCAAAGGACAAAAGGACATAAGGTATACTACACACATAAACAGAGCACCAGCACATTCACACTGGGGAGACATAACACTAAACAGTCTGTTACACAAGCTAGCTAGCTTGGGGGTTGGCCGACGTCTCCTCACGATGTCTAGCTTTTCTGGAAAAGTCCGCCATGAAAATGGATTTTTAAGTATGCTGGCCCTGTGAGGCGAAATAGAATTCTGATTGATTAAAGAAACAGTCCCATTGCTAATATAGTTTGTTACATTGGCCAGGGCCGGCCCGTGGCATAGGCAGTATAGGCAAATGCTAAGGGCGCCGTACATTCAGGGGGCACCAGAAATGGATGAAGAAAAAAAGTGTAACTTCCTCCATTCTTATTCCGGGCATGTCCCACCGGGAGGAGGCCCCGGGGAAGACCCAGGACACGCTGGAGGGACTATGTCTCTCGGCTGGCCTGGGAACGCCGCGGCATTCCCCCGGAGGAGCTGGAGGAAGTGTCTGGAGAGAGGGAGGTCTGGGCATCTTTGCTTAGACTGCTGCCCCCGCGACCCGGTTCCGGATAAGCGGAAGAAAATGGATGGATGGATGGATGTTTCATTAGAGTATGTGAGAAATACTTTGCTAAGGTTAAAAGTTTATTGAGGAGTGGTTAGTTCTGTAATAAGGAACTATTTTAGATTTAACTTTAGATGCAGGAAGAGGTTAATGTTTAACTACAGCTGTTAGGGTTTAGTAGTGTTAATGTCTCAGGCAAACGCGGTCATATTTTCAGTTTCCTCTTTGCTTTTGTGGTACTTGTTTGTTTTCTTGTAAAGTTTAGACACTAATTAAACACTAACAGCAACACTAATTAAACATAGTATTGGGAGGAGGGACTGTAGTGGTTTAAGTTACATGTTAATATGGACTATGTAGTAGAATAATGTGTTTGCGTGTTCACTTTTAAGGTCATGTGAGCTGAACAATGAGCTTATATAATTTGGTCAAGATGCTTCCTGTTTTTGGGTACATCTCAGGGTGTTGTCTCCTAAAACTGGAGACAGGAAGCTAAGTTTGGAAATTGACATAACAGCCTAAGAAAGCTGTGGATAAAAAGGATAAGGCTGAAGGATGAGAATGCTAGCGTGACAGAAAACCGTGTGCTGTTGGACCCGGCCGGGGGGACGCTGACTGATTGTACCCTGTGACAAAGGCTGACTGACTGTATCTATTCCATTGCAGAAAGAGTGAATCTGTTCTCTGTTCCCTAACTACCAGATTACTTAGTTAACTACTACTCTGTTTAGAATAATTGTAGTATTAAATGATTACTTAAATTGGGATGATTCATCTGAATTAATTTATTTGGTATCACATTCTAGCCACGACAGCGGTCCAGGACATTCTCATTCTGAACAAAGGTAAGACTCTTTATCTCTCTAAATGATAGTTGTACCTTTATTGACCAGTTCTGGACTGTCCTTACGGCAGCTGTAGATACTGTAGATCACCAAATGCTTCACTCTAATTTGCATGACTAGTGTAGTGCATGTTTTTGCCATTTTTGATAAGATCTATGTTTTTTATTTATATGCCCCACACAGCACAGATTAGATTGACATGGCAACACATAGAGGCTGAAATCTGATTGGACAAAAAAATCTAACATCCATATACACGTACTGGAAGCAGTGCAGCTAAGAGAAACGCTACGAAATGAAGAGAAAAGACTGTTGGGACTAAATTTATACAGTTTCATGGAACAAATATTATAATTTAGGTGGTAAATGTAGGTCAGAGGCCATTAAATGCGCTACTAAAGTCCATATCCAGCGATGATGACCTGCAGGTGCTGGTTCTGCTTAACACAAAGGTGGCATTATGTATTCATAAGAGACAACCTGGACATTTTCACTGCTTGGTGCAGGGGTTGAAACTGTACCATGGTCATTTTGAGACATACATAAGAATGTCCGTGGGACCATTTGAGGAGCTGCTGCTGCCATGGCAGGAGGAGGCAGAGGAGCACTTACTGTCCTTGATCTACCCGGAATAGCGCATATGTCTGAGATCAAATGAGCCATTAGCGGACCGGCGCACCATGCGCTTTGTGGTAACAGTGCCACAAGTTCCAGTAAGCTGCGTCGTGTCAGGTGTGAAAAGTAGAGAAACCTTGGGGCAATAAATACATAAATGCCATTTTCGTTCAGCCATATTTTGTGCAAGGGTTCATAGACAGAATATTGGTTCAAATATTGATGTACAAAATAAACGCACGAATAAAACGCCTCCAGTATGAAAAGACCTTTATCTTCAGCCAGCACGGTCACTTTCGCCTTTGCCTTCCTGCCATTTCACCATCAACATGTTTTCAAGACCTGAGAGCAAACAGGATGTTTTCGTTTTCACAGTTTTAGCAGATAATGTCAGTACAGCCTGTGAGGGTGCATGTAAGTGCTGCTGTCATGCCTGCAGATGTATGTATAATACTTTTTAAAACTAATCAAGTCACTTAATATGACATTAAAATAACTCATTCCTAAATATACAACAAATCATATAAGACAACGTTTCTGCATTTCCCTAATGTGATGGGACAGAGCACAATGAACAGGTTGCTTTATTAGCAGTCCACAACTCTCTTTTTTGTAGCTGTACTTAAGAGCAAACCACCACTTCACAACTTTCACACCTACGTTCTTAGTATTATATTTTGTGCAGCATCCGTTGTTATCAGATGATTGATGCTATACAAAAACAGTTATAAAACACATTTGCAACTAAATTATTACAATTGTTTAATAGCGATTTTTCACAACATGTAGTATAATGGCATAGTTCTAGTCAAAACAAACAGGAACAGTTCTGGATGAGAGAAACAATAACTCCAAACACAAGTGCATTAATCATCAAGTTACTTCAAGACATTTGCTTTTAAAAATGTGTAAATTGCATGATAAAGAAAATACGGCATCTGTAATGTTTGCAGAGAGTAGCACATCAGTATATTTATATATTTTACAACAAATCAGTTGCTGTTGCTGCAGCTGTTCTTCCATTGATTCAACCATGTTACATGTTGGCATATATTGCATCATCACAGTCAGCCTATATAGGAAACAAGAACAACTCACTCTCAGGTTTCATGCAGGGAAATAATAAATGAAAGGAAAATATTTCACATACCTCCATGTTGCCATATACATGATCGCTGCCATAAATGCCAGAGCCAGGTATGTCATTATAGTCCAGCTGTTTTCTGAGGACAGAATACAGAAAACAAATGAGTTGCTGTGTACATTTTTTAATCAAATCACATAAACACACATAATACTATGCACAGTTAGCTTCTCTGTGTTATTTTAAATCTCAAGGAAACTTCTGTTTATCCCAAAAGGTGAATAACAGAAACCTTTGTGTTGTGGCATGCTGAGGGAGCTCCACAGCTTTCTCCTCCTTGGTGGCACTCATGTGAGCCATTGGAGCATCTCCAGGTCTCCTCCTGCTGGCAGAATAACAATTTTTAAATTTTAACCTGAAAAAACACTGTTGACACTTTACACACTGAAACCCAGAGATGTACACACAAGCTAAACCAAAACTAGGCTTTGAAAGACTGTAAAATATTTGCCACTAACCTTTTGTTCTCATAGTGGTCAAAGTAAAGTGGTTTAACAGTTTCCTCCACATGCATGAGTTTAATGTAAAGCTCTTTCTCCACTGCTTTTTGTAGAGTTTAACCCACTTTTTAAATGCCTTAACCCACTTTTTAAATGCCTTAAAGCACCCAAATTTGAATGGTACAGCTAAAACATTTAACAAGAAATGTTTTCTATACCAACTTACCATTTTATGACAACTATCACAGCTATTAAAAGCACCACCACACTTATGCATGCTCCAATAGCGATGAAAATATACAGGTTCTGCACCTTTCCTGTCCAAACAGAAATTGTGTGGAGTCATTATATTTCATTTCTATGATTAATACAAACAAGCTTTATGCATATTAGAAATGCCCTGCCTTCTAGGAATTCTAAAAACATTCTTACCATTGACAGAGACTTTGAGGTCAGCACTGCCTAACGTGTTGTTTGCCACACACTGGACAAACTCAGAAGATACAGACTCTGCGAGCAGAGTCCCAATGGTAATATGGCCATGTTTGTCTAGTTTGGTGCTTGGCAGGACTTTGTCAGAAACAGCAAAATAGACCAAACAGGGAGGATTGGACTCAGCAATGCACAAACACTTCATCATATGCCCCTCTAAGGAGCAGGAGATGGTCTTAATCTCAGGGGCATCTATGAGAAAAACAAATGTATGAGTTACCCACATTTACTGTATATTCTCCTTCTTGCATGTATTTGATTGGTTACTTACATAACACATTGAGCTGCACAGGATTAGATTTGCCTTGTCCTACTCTATTGATGGCAGTACAGTACAAGACACCTGTGTGTCTGGAGACATTTGGCAGCACATAGTAGTTTTTCTGATACAGCTGAGCACCAGTTTCATTATGCCACTTATAGATGTCAACAGGAGGGTTAGCATCACTAGAACATTTCAGCTGCACAGCTTCTCCTTCCTGTACATCTGACTTATAGTCAGCCTTCACATTAACTGGGGCATCTGCATTGAAACCCAGAGAGTACAAAAGTATAGCGTCAAACTATAATGAAGGTACCAAAAGTACCCATTATGCACAATGTGTTTCACATGAATGTATATTTTATTACTGGATTATAATTATTAATGCATACATCACTTACATTTGCAGCTGGTGAAGGTGGAACAAATTTTAACTACTTTATGTGCTTGAGCATTTCCCACCAGGGGTCAATAAAATCTGTACTTAATTTTAAGTAAATGTAATTAAATGTTTACTTTACACCACTGTGGAAACATTCATGTTCTTTACAGACAAATGTTTGCACTTTGTAGTCTTACAAAGTAGTGTCAAAGATGTGCTGGAGTAAATGCACATAAACAAACAACACAACAGCCAAAAAGCCAGGATGTAACATGTCATCACCCAAAAATTCCTTCTCTGTTAGTTTGAATCATTTGCTTTAATCACTACTGCCATATACACTTACACTGCACGTTGAGGACAGTAGCTTTCTCCCGCTTCAGCCCTCCTCTGTATATGACGATGCATTGTAAAGTCTTGTTGTCAGCTTTGGTAGGTTGAAAGGTCAGAGTAGATGTTGCTTTCCATTGGCCGTTGATAAGCTTCTGTTGGAAATGTTTTTCTCCAGAGAGATTCCAGGTGAAGACAGGAGGAGAGATGGTACAGTAGTAAAAAACAGAGCAGGATGCAGACACATTTTGACCCTCCACTACGTCCTTGTTCACAGAGAAAGTGACGTCTAGTTCATCTGTAACAACAGGAAAATTAAAGGCAGCATCACTGTAATACAAGAAAAGGAACACACGTAGTCTACTGGGCTGTTCATGTCATGTTATATGTTTTGAAGCTTTGTATAGGCTACTATATAGTAACTACTACTGTACTGTATATATTTGTTTTAATGTTAAGCCATGTTGGAAGCATTGTAGTTGACAAAAATAAAAATAAAAATCACATTACTGCTGGAATTAAAAAAAGGTTACTAAAATACAACACAGAAACTGACTGCTAAAATATGTTACAGGAAATAGGGAATAACAATGTTTCAGTCATGTGGATGCAGTGCTAGAACAGGAACTTCAATTTGGTATGGTAGCAATGTACTTTACATTTCCACAAAAGCAGCTCCCTCTAACCAAATTCTAATTCACATCCCAGTAACGTATTCAAAGGTTTTCAGTCTGATTTTACGATTTAAGGCAGATATCAATCTTGACTGAACTGCTGTGGGACCAAGATTTAACATGTACAAATTCTTGAAATGGGTCCCACTATCTTTCTATTTCATACACGTCTAGAGAAATGAAACTTATCTTTAAATGCTTTGTGCAATGGGGGCAGTATCACACAAATAAGGAACTGAGAATCAGATCATTGTTAAAATTAGAAAAGCTAAAACATGTATTGTCAGAGGACTTTGCTTTTGGGGTTACACTGTATTTGCAATCTTAACTTTCCAATACAAGTTGAAATAAACCATACAGGCAAACATTGCTATTTTAAGGAATTCAGCCTTTTTTTTGCTTGTAATTCTACTTTACTTATAATTAATAATATAAGAAATGTGACCAAACAAGTGTAAAATATTTCCAAGGACTGCACCCCAGCTCCACACAGTTCACAGCACTCTGATCTGTACAACTGACTGGTTAACTATAAATAAAACTGCTCAGAAGTCAAGAATGTTCAAAGGTAAACACCTGAATTCATACCAGAAAGAATTATGAAAAAAATTAAGTGTTAACTCCACTGTTAAAGATGTTCATTGAATGTGGTTAGTATTACTTACTATCTATTATAAGGGTGACTGTGTTGTCTTTGTAGGAATATTTGTCATAGCTTCCGATTTCAATCCTAAAATGAAAAGACCTTTGGTCATTTGATTGAAGGGAGTCGATCTTCAGTGAGCAGTTCTTGTGTCTGGTGTCTCCCAGCAGCTCTGTCCGAGTCCGATACGCCTCCGCAATTTTAGATTGAACTGGGTGATATATGACATGACCCCCTGATTCGGTCCAAATCCCAGTGAATTCATTGACCTCCTTCCCTGGGTTTGGGTAGTTAAATGAGCAGGGAATAACCGCACAGGATCCAAGGACACCTTTAACTGAGGATGGCACCGTGATGGTCCAACCTGAGGCTTCAGATTGAGTAACTGTGATGAAGTGCAGGAGAAAATTTGGTTAAATGAAACAAAGAGAGAGCAGAGTGAACACTGCAAGAGGAAGAGTTAGTGCAAATTCACCTGAGAAAAGACTAAAAAAATACAACTGTTTACTCCCTGTGAGCAATGAAAAAAAATATTTCTGGATATACAGAATAGAGAATGCACAATACCTTTAAAGCAAAAGCACACAAAGAGCAGAGGCCATTTCAGAACATCCATCTTGTCTTCTCAGGGTCAAACCTGAAAATAAAGTGAGAAATATTTCCAGGCGTGTGTGTTGCCACTGTCATTTCCCTCTTATGAGGCATGACTTATCTAGTTTCCATTCCATTTTTAATACAGTACAAATCCACTATGTTACACCAAAAAACTGATGTTTGTCTCATCAGACAGGGAAGTCTATGTTAATCATTTTTTCTTTCCGTTTTCTCCACTCAACTATTCCCACAAGGTACACATTTATCAGGGTTTACTATCATAAACCAATACAGTCATAAAACAAGAAATTTAATAGCTCTTGTTTTCTTTTCTCTTTTAAAAACTTTATATTTGTTTTGTATCAGAGAGAAGCACCCTTGGGTTTATCACAATGTATGCCATTCAGCAGCTTGCACTTCCTTCTTGGGACATATGAATTTGAATAAAAAGAAAATGTAACTTTTCCAATTTTATTTTTGCAAAACCATGAAGTCATCACCACTGACCAACAACTGCCATCACAATTACACATACGTATTTTGGTTATGTGGTGAACTTAAAAACCTCAGTTGTGCTTTCAGTAGTTATTAGTTTGACATTCAGGCGGTGAACTATTCAGTTTTCTTCCACTTATTGAATTATTTTAAGTGCTTTAAATCCTGCCAATGGGCCAACTGTTAGTAGCAGCCCACTCTGTTGAGTTCATGTCAGAAGTTACCAATTAATGAAACATCGAGACTGTAAAACAGCTTAATCAAACACTAATGGTTATGTTGTTTTTAAATTATTTGCTAGTGATGAATTGTTTTGGTGACATTTGCTAAGTTATCATTTTTATTTGCACAGGTTGTGTGTGAATTTGTTTGTCCCTGTCAGCTGAACAAAGAAAAGAAAAAGCAGTGCTCAGACCTCAGAAAAAGCCACAACAATGTCAGTACAAAGATTCATGTTTGCGCTAAAACTTAAACCAAGAGACCAAAACAATATCTGCTTTGATTGCTGAATGTATTTGCCCAACAAGCCTGCTTACATTTACTTGCAAATAATTTTGCTTTAGAGAAAGAACTTTGAAATACCTTGACATTTTCTTTGAATAGTGAGCACTTCCTGAAAGCTTCCTTCACTTTCTGAGGTTGAAAATGATACTTCTGTAATATTTATTTTGGTCAGTCATTAATGCAAATACAGTCATGACAACTACCAATTCATTAAAACATTCAAGGGAAGAAGAACTTGTTATAAATTCATTTTCTGAAGTGAAAATAGCCATTACTATACCTTAAGAGTGTGTGCATCATAGATACCGAGTTATGAAGATACGATTTCCTTATTTCACTTTTGCTTCACAAGCTGAGCTGTCTCATTTGTGGTTTTTACTTGTACTGTTCATCTCTGTACATATATTTACCCAGACATCAAAACTAAAACTACAAAAAGTGTTTTTCATGTTTAACTATAAGACACTCCAATACAAAAAATAGTAAACTTTTTTTTACTTTTGCTCCCATTTAATAAAAAACAGACATACTACTTGAAGACTGTTCATTCACACCTACAGAGCTGTGATGAGAAACAGGACTCTATTGTTGCAGTAACATCAGTGGTGGTTTGCAGTTAACCCTTCGAGCAGCACAACACAGAGGATCATCTTGCTGTAGTGTTGATTTAATTGTCCACAGTGAATTCAAGCTTTCATGAACCCTGATCACCAACAAAAGCTGGGTTCAGCATTATGTCCCCGTTTGGATAAAAACCGCCACTCTCATCGACAGCTAGATCAATATAACGGATGCTGTGAGCGAGGTGGACCTTCTTCACAGATAAACTTTGGTTTCCTTCAACTCTCCAGAGATCCTCTTCATGCTGTGTCAAGATGTCCTTCAGCTGGACTGTGTCATCTTTCTGGCGACCCCAGGACAGTTTCCTTGGATTAGGAGTGATGAAGCTGGTAGATGCTGAGTTACCCATGATGGAAAATGGGCTTGATGTGGAAGTTCAGAATATGCAAGGAGCAAGTCTGTGAATGAAAACATCAAGAATGCAACAAATAAATATGTCAGTACTTAGAGGTGAACTGAGAAATACAATGAAGTTCCACACAAATAGTTTTTTTTTTTCACCCAGTTACTGGAAGAGGCCTCAGCAGAGTCCCTCCTCACTGCTGTTCTCACCTTGAATGAAAAGTTCATTGAATGTGATCCAGCTCCTCCATTTTAAAGACAGTCCTGCAGGTCTGATCTTCTGTGTCATCACAGGAACAATTCATCAGATTTCTCTGGATGAGATTAAACAAAACAAGCTAATCATTGCTGATTAACAGATCTCAGTTTGTAGTAATGAATCAATCATGAGGAAATTCCTTTAATCAGAAACACTCACTCAAAGAGCTTAAATGTTTTATCACATAAAAGTTGTAAATGTAGGTGTAAATTGTATCAGTTTTTCTGTGTGATTTCTTTAGCTTCGAGGCATCCTCTATGTGCTCTTGATTTACTAAAAATAGGTAGGTTTTGTGTCCACTAAATGCCTGAAGGATAGATCCTGATGAAACTATTATCACAATTCAACATTGATCAATAGGTATTTGAAACACTGACTGACAAATCTTTCACTCAGGGTGGTTGTTCTGACTGATTTTCACGCCAAATATTGTGGTTCAAATGTTTCTTTCAGTCATAGCCTGAAAATAATTACAGTACCGCAACATGCCCTGCAGAGTATTTTTAGTCTAGACCCATTTTTGGTTTTGAAACACTGACCTCAGCATCTAACCCTGTCCATCTTCCACCAATAACGGATAGTCTTCAGAAACATGCTTCAGCTTCACATTTGTCGTTTTCACATTTATTTTTTATCAATGAAGTTTTTACACACAAATGTGTTTAAGAAATATGCATCATTAACAGTATTTAGATAATTGTTTACATTTTTATGTCTCTGTACAAGTGACAGCCGTGGCTAGAGAAATAATTCTACATGGTGTGGACAGTCAACCGGTCAGGTATTTTAGGCGAATGAGGGACGACATTGGACTGATTGGTAGCTATGTTACAGTGACATAAATACAACTGTTGCACTGCTGCCATATTGGACAGATATGTTACAATAAGCTCACCCCTCACACTGTGGCACAGCCGGCAAGACAAAACACCTTTAATGCAGAGTCTGATTCAGACAGAGAGAGAGAAAGATATGGCAGCCTGGATCCATACAGATTACATAACTTTACTAATAGATGGCCACTTTTGATGGTCAGACAGACATTACAGACACTCATTCATTTTTCATTAAAAATGGATTTACTCTTGCACCATTACCTGTTTCCATCTTCACCAGTGGTGTTTGCCATGGTTTTTTTTTTTGTTGTTGTTATGATAGGCCTGTTTGGTTGGATAAAGCAGTCCTGAGAAGATCTCTAATAGGACTATTGGTGAGCAGAGGCTTAAGCAAATTATGAAAATTGATTCTGGGAACAAAGCTGTAGGTTTACTCTAAATAAAACCAGCCTATAGAGGCCTATATAAGTATTACCCTAGTAGTTTGACTGATGATTGTTTCTCATGATTTTCCAGCTGTGTGCACTAGAGGGCAATAGGGCATAAACAAATAGTCATAGAGAGAGAGAGATGGGGTGCAGTGGATTCACCTGAAACATGCACACCTGGCAGCATCAGCATGAAACAGCCTGTGCAGATACTCCTACATTCCTACATGTGCAGAGTTAGTGTTGTAGCACATGGTGTACTTAGTGGGGAATCACTGTAAATAGAGAGACAGATCAATAGATAGATAGATAGATAGTAAGTTACATAGAGAAATAGATTAAATAGTTACATAACACAATATATATA